AGAGTTCTTTGTATATTCTGCATATAAGTCCTTTATCAGATATGTGATGTGCAAATAATTTCTTCCATTCTGTGGGTTTTTTCACTTCTTTGATGGCATCCTTTGAAGCACAGAAGTTTTTACTTTTGATGAAATCCATTTGATCTATTTTTGTCTTTTTTTGCTTGTGTTTTTGGTATCATACCTGCCAAAGATTTTACAACTTGAAAGCAACTGTCGATGAAAAAAATTAATCAATAGTCTAAGAAAGAAATGGAAAATTTTATTTGAGCCAATCTGAGGATTATAAGATGAGAGACAGTCTATCAGAAAGTTCAGAGGACTGTTCCACCCCTCATAGGTCAAAGTCCCGTAGAGGTTATATAAGTTTTTGAGACAAAGGGTTATATGTCAGATGACGTATTATTGGCGGCTTACACCATCCAGATCTATGCATACAAAGCGAGTAGTGGGTCGTGGGTCATCGTGGCCCCATACAAGGTTAAGAAGGAAGACTCTCCTAAGGAGGTCTGGTTAATGCAGATGTACAATACACACTAAAGGGGAGGGAAGAGGCCCAACGGGACAGAGAAAAGTTTTATGTTTAAATCTTCTTATCTTGTCATGAAATATAAATTCTGTTTCTTCACCACAATGGCTTTTTCAGACTGAGTTTGTAGTCTCTCAGGCAGTGCAGATCCTGTGGAAACCTAGGTCTCTGATCACTTTGCTTCCAGGCAGTCACATGGGCCAGTATCCAGAGTTCTTTTCTTGGCATATTGCTCAAGCCCAATTTTGTTGGGGTTTTGTTTTTTTAATTCTTGGCCTTTGTCTTAGCTTGGGCTGCCCTAACAAAATATCACAGACTGGGGGGCTTAAATCACAGATATTCATTCGTTCCTCACAGTTCTGGAGGCTGGGAGGTCCGAGATCAGGATGCTGGCAGATTCGGGTCCAGTGAGGACCCACTTCCTGCCTCCTTGCCGTGCGCTCCCCTGGCCTTCCCTCAGTGCGCGTCAGGGGGTGTGCGTGTGGAGAGAGAGCACTCTGGTCTCTCTTCTTCTTTAAGGACTTGAATCCCGTTATGGGGGCTCTCCCCTCGTGACCTCATCTAAACCTAATTCCCTGTCTAAGGCCCCAGCTCGTAATCTCATCACTTTGGGGGTTAGAGCTTCAAAATATGAATTTTGGGGTGTGGGGACACAAACTTTCAGTCCATGACAGCCTCCATTCCTTTGTTTTTTATTGTGGTTAAGAAAAAAATAGAATTTACCATCCTAATTATTTCTCAGTATGCATTTCAGCAGTGTTGAGTACTTTCACACTGCTGTGCAGCCAGTCTTCAGGACTCGTTTCATCTTGCAAAACTGAAACTCCATACCCTCTGAACAACACCTCCGCATGTCCCCCTCTCCCCATCCCTGGCAGCCACCATTTACATTCCATTTCTGTGAACGTGACTGTTCCGGAAACCCCAGATAAGTGTAATCATACAGTATTTGTCTTTTGTGACTGAGTTACTTCACTTAGCATCATGTCCTCAAGGTTCATCCGTGTTATATTAAGCAGCAGGATTTCCTTTCTTTTAGACTGAATACTATTTCCTTGCGTGTGAGTGTGTATTGTGTATCCATTTATTCATCCGTGGACACTTGTGTTGTTTCCTCCTCTTGGCTATTGTCAATAGTGTGCTATGAAAATGAGTGTGGCCTCCATTCCTCTTTTATTCAACTTAATGATGGCTACCTTAAGGTCACCTAAAGCTGAAGGCTTCACCCCTTTAACCTGGGTCACTTTCTACAACTGAGAAAATTTACTGGGCCTTTTTGGTTCAAAGCCTGTTTCAGTCTTTCCCCTTACTCTCTGAGGGCTAGAGGTAATTGTTTTTTCCAGCCCTTCAAAGATTCAAATTTCTGAGCTGTCCGTTCTCTTTCTTTACTCCTTGAAAACTGGACACTTCTCTCCTGTGCTCATCTCTTGCCTGCAATGTTTTGCCAGAGGAAGCTTTTCCTGTTCATGTCACAGTCTGCTGTGGGTGGAGGGTGTGGCCCTCTGCTCCACACAATCACTCAGGTGGCTCTCTGACGCCAGGGCCTTAGCCTCACCTATTTCGGCAAAGAGAGAGAAAGAAAATGGGGCGGGTCACCCAGGAAGGCTTTTAGGAGCCTGATCTGGAAGTAGCATCTCTTCTACCCCCTCCATTCCGTTGGTGAGACTTGTTATCACAGCTCTACTTAACGGTAAAGGAGACCGGGGAGATTTAATCTTGCTCTGTCCTCAGGGAGAAAGGAAAACAAGGTTTGGTGAACGCAGAGCAGCCACTGCCACAGGCTAGCACTAAATTCGGAAATGCCAGCAGACAGGTAGTGATGAAAGCCATGAGAGAAGGTGGGGATCACCTGTAGAGACGCAGTGAGAGTAATGGGAGGCCATCACAGGAGCAAGCACACTTTCTGGAGGGCCTGTCACGGTGAAAATAATTTATGTAAGCTAACTTTACAATGTTGAGAAAAATTAACTCCCATGTTTATAGGGAAATTTAAACATGTAGATTAAAAATGGAAAAGTAGCTTTTCAGAAACTGGAATGTTTTCACTCCTTGAAGTTAATGCAGGAGAAACATTAATTTGCATGATTATTTTATGATTGATGGAGCCTAGGAGTATAAAATGACTCTGGATTTTAGAAATACTGAACTAAGTAGAGATTTTTTATTTGTCATTTATTTAGTACATGTTTATTGAGCATTTAATATGTGACAGACAGTGTGAGTATTATGACAATAAGTCCTAGGCCCTCAAGGGGGATCAATTTAAGTAGGAAAGAAATAAGGTAAAGAAATGAATACCTGAAATATCAGGCAGAATCTTCGAGACCACAGGAAGTGATGAAAATGTTCCACCACCGGGGCGGCAGCCTGGAGGTGAAGGAGTCGCAGCTCCGCTGCTTTCCGAGTAACCTTGGGGAAGTGATTGCTGTCTCTGGACTTGTAGTTTCCTTATTTCTTTCAGGTGGTTGTGGAGATCC